AGGTATGGCCAACTGGCTGTGTTCTTAAGGTATGATGAAAGGCGCTTTTTTCTTATAGTTGACACTTTACGCAGCTGTATCACGTGCACATTACTTGAGGCAGGAGAGCGGCCACTGCTGATAACCGGCTCTTCGGAACTGCACAATCTCTGATAGAGAACTGAGGATTGAAGCGGATTTAAACGAACTGAACAGGTTTGAAGCGTGTTCTTGTCTCCATCGCCAAGAAGGGTTCTGGTGTCCGTTTCATCACATGCCCTTTTCAGGTCAACCCCGGTATTTTTTAACATTGTACGCCGCATCTGTGTGCTGCTCCTTGGCTGTTTAGAGAGTTCTGCTTTAAGCATTGGTTGCATTGCCGTGCCTCTGTTGCTAACGGAATCAGCCGGACTGTCTTTGTCGGGCAGAGCTTCTGTTATGGGGTTTGTGAAAATTATATCTTTTTTAAGGGCATCCCCACTGAATATCCTTCGAAAGACGCGGAGCGGAAGAGGATTCTCTCGAATGGTTAACAGCTGATATTTTTCTGGTAAACTAAGATCTAACTGGGGCCCATTGCGAGGATTCTGCAGAATAAGTGAGCATTGAACTGTGCCGCTGCACATGTTTGTAAGCACACGATGTTTAAAGGAACTTGCAGTGAAAACTACCAAGGTGAGCATTATTTTTAAGAAAATAACTTACCAATAGTCGGTCTTCATTTTCAGCCAATCACCTGTGCCCTAAGTTACTTGGCGGAAATGGGGACGTAGTGCAATGTTTTACATCAAAGGCAGGCTGTTTCTTTTTTTTCATGGAGCGCAACAAAAAACTGAGACATTTCACTAACGTTCGCAGACTTTAGAGATTGCAACTCCTTATTCAGGCCGCTGTCAATCTTGGCTTGCTAACACTTTTAGCGTAACAAAGACAAGAGCTTGCTGATTTCGTATTTCATCATTAAATTCCTTCATAAATTTAGTAAACCAAACAAATATATGATGTTAAAACTATAAATAAACAGGATCACATTACTTAGCGGGGATAGCTAACATACGGTCTAAAAGGCAGCTTCATGGAAGAATAATCAGAATGAGATTTACAAGCAGTTATCATAAATACAGATTCCTCTATAGCAGCATACTTTACAACCGACGATAAAGTACATGGCTCTATATCCTATGGTCGTGAAATGAAAATCTTGGCCATTTTTGCAACAGAAAGCACTGATAAATATTCATTACTGTATTTTGTTGAATCGCACCTAGGTTGGCACAAAAAACAAATTAAGCATATGTTGCTATGGAAATACCTGCAAAAAACAAGCTCTATTAAATTTGGAGTATGTGGCAAAATTATTTCTTGTATAACATGTTTGCCGTTAATACAATTTAGAAAGGGCACGGCCAGCAGATTTATGGTTTTCTATAAATACTAGTATGCATTCTGTCCATCGTTTGCGCATTTTCAATCACAGCAAATTACCGTTAGAAAAAAAACATTTAGTGCTTCAGTGTAAAATTAAAATTGAATGGATCTGTTTTTAAGAATAACAACAAAAATAACAATAATTTCACGAAAATTAAAAAAAGCCTGCCCAAATTTCCCCAAGTCGAAGTTAATAGTACCCTGCAAAACTTTAAATTCCTCACACATTTTCAGTTAGTAATCTGATAAAAGCGTTTTTTAAATAAGTTATTTTCTGTAGGGGTACTTTAAATGGATCCTGGACACACTGATGGCCAGCTGGTATTATGGACTTTTTTCTTGGCAGAGTTTACAGGTTTAGGTAAATGTTGAAGTATGATTCAAACGATCATCTTCTTAAGAAAGAATATCCGAAAGTACCTACTTCGGCAAATGTTTTTAATAAATGCCTTAATTTGAAACTTCTGGTAAACATGTACGGAAAAGCTCCAAAGCAGGGAAAATACAAATGTCTCCGCCTGAATTTCAAAGAAGATCTGCAGTTAATTGTCATTCAATACGACAAATACACATAAGTCAGTCTTACAAAATCAAAGTTCTCTCAACAACCAGTAAATACTATTGTTCCCCCTGAATCTGACAATCATATTGACATTTTTTCGTCTCTGTTACAGCGATTTATCGCTTTTGTGGAATTTGAGGCCTTTTATAAACGTTGATAATTATAAGCAAAACAGTGTTGCTTTTCAAATTCTAATTAAATTTTAAATTTATTTACGTTTGATGATTACTAATTCCCGGTTTTCATATATGCTTTAATGAAAGTTTTCTAGGGACTATCAATGCGTCATAAATTGTGGGATATTGCTGGACTTAGGTTAACTGCTGTGGAATTTACCGCAAATTAATTCAACTGTTATTATTTAAGATCAGCTGGTATAAATCCAAGGCTTGTGCGCGCAGCCAAGGAGTAAGCTATAATCGACCGACGAACTAATAAAATTTGGTACTAGCCGCTTCAAGTGCCTGACTTAAAAATACATTATCGGGGTCTCCCTAGGAGGCAAAATCAGATTGGTTGTTGATCTGCGACTGCAAGTTGAAACCAA